CAGTGAGAAGCGTTTTACAGTGTGAGTGATTCACGGATAAATTTAGTAACCGGTTTATATTAAAACCAAATTTAACATCAGCATGATATTTATTTGTAGCACTTAGACTTTTAGAGTTTTGTGTTCTTAAAGAATATTAATTTAGGGGCCAGGAAGATAGCTCAGTAGAATAAGCGCTTAGCGCAAGGGTCCGAGTTCAATCCCCAGTTCCACAAAAAAAAGAATATTAATTTAATATTTGGTGACTAGCTCCAATAGAAGTATATGTTAGGTCTTTAAATTGTTCTTATGTTTTGATACTTTAAAAATAAAATTATAAAAATATGAAAAGGAGATCAGAGGAAGGCGTCTAGTCAAAAAAATTCGTTCTCTTCTTATGCTGCTTGTGCTGATGTGTTTACAATAGCCATGAGTTGATGTCCTGTTTCCTGGTTTTATAAAATAACTGTTTGGGGATTATTCCTCTTCTGAGATGGTTTCTGAATTAGTTGTTAGCATGTTAATTGCTAGCTAATGAACTAGCTTAGCAATCTAATGGAATAGTATCTTTTTTATGAAGTCATGTGATTTGACAGTTATTTAAGAGAGAAATAAGCTTGTTATGTTATATAAGCCATAAAAATGCCTTAAAATTTTAATTCTGTGTTTGAATAATTTGTTTTTTACTTGGGAGAAAGCCCTGGACTCTAGCCCACCTTATTTATAGTCATGCCTATTTTAGAACACTCAGCTTTGTGTGTCTTTTGTTATACTAATAGTTTCACTTTTAACACCTACTAGATAGAAACTGTAAGGGTACTGACCATGTCCCAGTTCCCTACTGGTCTGCGGCGTGATGTTTGGTCCTTTGAGGAGAATCACATTCTAGTGATCTTTAACTGTATTCTGTCTTCGGTTATAGTTTTAAATATCTCAGAGTTGGGTGAAAAGAGAGAAGCAGGGTACACTGGTGAATTCACATTCCAATTAACATTCTTTTTATTTTTTTACTTTTTTTAAGAATACAAAATAGTAAAAAAAAAAAAAAAATGATAAACTTGAAGCCTTTGTATTTCAGTGGATCCACCTGAAGATATGCTCCTAAGTGAAATAAACCAGACCCACATGTGTAAATATCATATAGTCTCCCTAGTATAAGATAGCAAAAGAAGAAATACAAATAGAAGCAATTCAAAATTTCATTAAACAAAGTAACAGGAATTCAACAGTGGTTGCTGTGTTGCATGATGTTGTCTTCAAATTAGTAGTTTGTGTTACCAGATATAAACCTACAGAATTGTTTAAAAAAGACAACAGCAAAAGTTATAAGAAATTAAAAAGAAAAAACAAATTTAAGCAGTAACTGCTCCTTTCAAAAGACCTGCAGAAATTGGCAACACAGTTATCTAAACTATGCTGCATATATACATAAATATATCTTTTTTGCTTCCAGTTAACATTCTTACTAAAAAGTTCTCTGTGGAGCAGGGGTATCCAAAATAAATCTGATACATTACAAATAATTGAAAATGACTTTAGAAGAGCTTAAAATTTAAAAATTGTTATTTGTTTTCCCAAAGTATATAGAACACTAATTTCACAAGGATATATGTGTGTGTGTGTGTGTGTGTGTGTGTGTGTGTATAGAGAGAGAGAGAGAGTACGCACAAGCTTTGTCCTCAAATTTGTAGAATGTTAAGTTACAAAAAAATAATGGTTTTTTAATAAAAATTTAAAATGTAAAAATTTAAAATGTGTTAATGAATATTTTATAGAGTTAAATATAACATATGCTTTGTATTGCATGCTTTAGTTTTTGGGAGAACACTCTGAGATCAGTATGCTCTGGAAGAGAGCTTGGGAAATGCTGTTCTAAACTAGCCTTTATTAGGAAGGAAGAAGAGGTAAGGAAATTACTTGTATCAAAGGTGACAAGCTAGTTAGCTATCCAGGTATGGTGACTGATGTACTGTCTTTAGCTTGTATTAAAGGTTTTAAAGGAAGTCACTTTACTTGGAAATCATCTGCTTGAATTCATTGTACAGTAATTCTAGAAAGGCGGAAGAACTGACTTGTGCTAAAGCCCATCTGTAGTGTGACAGTTTTCCACCAAATCTTTTTATATTCTTCAAGCTTAACAGTTTCTTTTTACTGAGTTAGTTTTACTAACTGAAAAAGAGCTGGACTAAAAGCAAAACTTAATTAAAAGCATTTCTTTGACTAGATAATGTGCTGTAAAGAAGGGACATAATTGTTGTTTTTTTCCGAGTTCTTCACACTAGTAAAGTAGGTTTTTACTGTATATTAATTAGGACTGAGTTCAATAGTAAGAAAGCAATTATTAGGTCCCTGGAGTGCAATTTAATAATTTCTGTTGAAACTTGAATAATATTCTTTTGTATTTACATCAGGGAATTTTGGATAATACAATGAATACCATTTAGGAAAATGTAATGTTTGGTGTTCATTAAATCCGAAAACTCAGTGAAGTGTTTGTATTACTTTCTACTCTTTGGTCAAGACTAATAATCTGGGCACTTCTGGTATAACAAATATAGTTTTAGGGATCATACTGGTCCACCCCCTGCCTCTCTAACTGATTGATATGTCATTACTTTGTCAGATAGCAAGTTTAATGAAACTGGCACTTGTTAAACATGCACAGAATAAAATGTCTTAAATAGTTGAAAAAGTTGGCTTTAAGAGTAGATAATTCAGATGTTTTATTTGGTGTGAATAAAGAGATGCTTCCAAAAATTCGTTTTAGTTAACTATTAATGTTTCTTTAAAGCATTTTTGCCCTGAACTGGAAGGGAAAAGAGAATCATCTTAACTTCCAGCTGTGAAGGATAACTTTTTCCCTCAAAGTAGTAGAAATGCTGTAACCTGTGCAGAAGAGTGTAGTTAGAAGTAGCCTTACGTCTTTTCCCTCTCATTCTGAGTTTCATTGTTTTGTGAGGGCGCACTTAAGTGCTTGACTCTGTAGTATGGGCTTTTAAATGTATCAGTACATGTGTAATGTGTAGGTAGTCAGGTGCATAATTCGTGTATATACCAGTTAAAAGCAATATGTTAACATATTTTAAGTTTGAATTTAAATATTTGTATAACATGAGATTTGTAAGGCTATTTTGGTAACTATTAAAAAGAACTGAAAATAAGGGTAATTATTATTTGCTTTACCTAGCCTTAGTATGTAATTTGTTTCTTCATAGAAGTGAAACATTCTGATCTACTCAGATTAAGATCTTAAATTATTTTGCAGTCTTATAGTCTTCATTTGGAGAGATTTATAAAATTTCAAAAGTGTTAGGTTTTTTTGGCACAACAGATGTGGAAGGAAAAAAAAAAACAGAGAGGTTGCCTTTATTGAGGACATGGAGTGGACGGACTGCAGGAAGATGACAGGGATCCTCTGATCAGAGTGAGACAGAGGGGACCTGGGATTATACAAAATTTTGCTTGGGGTAGAATTTGAGGGGGAGGGCTTAGTGACCTATAAGGAGCTGATTGGGTTTTTTTTTCTTTTTGTGTAAAGGATAAGAGGAAGTTGTATTCAGAGCTGAGGGGAGAAAACTGGTGGGAGGGGTTGGGAGTGAGAAAGTTGTCATTGGGAAGATAACCTGTTGTTTGGGGGCTTCAGCCATGTTGGACCACCATAATGATTCAGCAATTCATATTTGGGCTGGAACCTATCAAAAGGTTCAAGAATAATGAGTTTTGCTTCATATTTACATAACTAACATTTAAGCACTTCTTGTATTCTTAAAGTATCACAAACTGCCTGTGATATTATTACCATTTGCACTAGTTAGTAGTTTTGCCATGTTCATCTGTGCCTCTAAGTCTTGTGAGAGGTGTCAGACTTCTCTCCAGAAAACAGTATATGAACCTGAAAATACGCATACTGTTTTCTGGAGTTGTCATACAGTCTTCTGTTCAGAACACTGTCACTCTCCAGAGCGAAACCTTTGAAACCCTTTGTGTCCTGCATTGTGGACTCCAGACTTCTTAAGATTTCCGTAAGGAGTGCCTGTGATCCAGCTGTAATTTTTTCTAGCTTCACCTTTTTCTGTAGCACCACACATACATGTTTTAACTGGACTGTTCCTCAGAATGCCATGAAAACATTCATGACTTCACTAATGTTCTCTTTTTCTAGTTTTCCCCTTGAAATTCAGTTCTTTATTTAAGTGTTAACCCAGTACAAAATGTTAAATTATTTCTATGATGCATAATTAATATTCTTTCTTAAACCTTTTTTGAGAATTTTGTTGTCTTTATTGTAGTTTTTTGTGTTTATCATTGTTTTCTAAAAGTGTGGTTATCATTCAGGGCGTGTGGTTAGAATGTTATCTATCCATCACTCCTTCTCCTCACACTGCCTTCTGCACCTTAGCTGCTACAATCTTGGCTAGTTAGGAAACATGAGGAAGCTTATTTTCTCCTTTCTTTCTTTTTATCTTTTTGTGCTGGGAATCCAACCTAGGGTCTCTCACGTGTTAGGCAAGTGCTCTACCGCTGCTCTCCACACCTGCTTTCTCTTCTTCACTTCACACAGTGGTGTTCTAAGGTAAAGCAAATTAGAATCACCCAAATTAGAATCATCCAAATTAGAATTATTTTCAAAAGTTTTACTATTTAGTTATAATTCACTGTAGAACATTTTGTAGATTACTGTGTCCGTCTCTGCAAACTGCTGAATCATCAACTTGAAAGAAAGACCCACAAATATATAGGTCTAAAACATTCTGTTGTACAGACACGCTTAGTGCATTTTTTAGTGTTTTTCTAGGTTTGAGTATCTTTGGCTTGAGTCTTTTTTTTTTTTTTTTTTTAAAGCCTGTCTCAGCTAGATTATGTGCTACTCCTACTGGGCAGTTGGACAGCATGAGATTAATACTAAAAAGTCTGGAGAGCCATGGACAGAAGCCATGAATATTCGCTAAGAGAATGTTGAGGTCCAGTGTTTCAAGTTTGTTTGTTGTTGGTAAGTGTTTGATTCCCTTTTGTCTTTGCAGGACATAGCTCGCCTTTTACAAGAAAAGGAGTTGCAAGAAGAAAAAAAGCGAAAGAAACACAACCTAGAATTCTCTGGAGCCAATGTTTATGGAGACAGTTACTATTATGAAGATGGAGGTAACAATGCCTGCATTATGAACTATTCTATCCTTACTTAGACTCAGCCACAAGACACATTTATTGTCCATAAAATGAGTGACCTTAAGGATCTGAGAACATTTCTTATTCCTAGTCACTTGGTACATTTAGAGTGAAGGCAGAATTTATTCAAATAGTGTGAACTTACCTATTCTTTACTTGGACAATCAAAGCCATTTTTATGACTATTAAGACTGAATATGGCTTTGTAAAATTTGGTATACGTTCTTCTGTATTGCAGCTCTGTATCGTACTCTGAATACATAAAGTGGGGGTATGGGAAATGGTGGGTGACTCTGAACTTAACTTTTTCAAAGAAATCTGGGCAGTGCTGTTCATTTGAATTAGTGAAATGGTATGGATAAAGAAGGTGTAGCATTTATTAGTTACTAGGTAACAAAACTTTTTCCCCATACTTTCCTGTTTGAATCTTGGATTGGTGCTTTAGCCTATTTACAACAAACGCTACTAACTTCATTTTTTGATTTTTGAAACTTTCTTTGCCATTTGATTGTAATATAGAATGATTTCTAAGGGAAAAAATTCCCTCTGCAGTCTTGCTTACCTGATATCTGCTTTTGTAGGATGGTGATGGTGATGGTGTGGTGGTTGCAACTGTGGTGTTGGTAATTCTGTATCTTAAAAGTGTGTTGGGAAAGAGTATTTGCAAGTGTAACTCAGTCCTTTTCAAAGATTGTCCATGGGAAATACATTTCCTGTACTTTCAAGTGTCACTCTATTGAAGGTCAGCTTGGAAACATACTTGGGTAACCAGTGAGCAAAACTTAAAGGCAACTTCTAGAAAATAAAGATTTTAAGCTCTGTGATTCCCCAAAGACCTTGCAAACTAGTTATCAACTGCTTTTCTATTATCCCATTATAGAAGGTAAGTGTGTCGGTAGTAGGATTTTTATTATTTGTATATAACCTTAGTCACAGCTTTACACTAAGTTTATTGTAATCACTGGAGTTTACTTTGTCATTTAATATACTGGTTGATTCTCTTGCTTGGTACTTTCTCCATATGTGAAGCGCTCAGCTCCTTTTATAACCATCTTCTTTCCACATGCTAGATTTTCTGGTGAAATTAAGTCCTATGGAAATTAAAAAGAAAGAAAAGTTACTTAGCATACTTTGCTGTCCTAGATACCAGAAGGTAGTTTCCTTACTTTCAATTAAAGTCTTAGAAATATAGTCTAGTGGTTTTTGTTTAATTTTTAATTCTACTCTAAAATAATGTTTATTGTGAAAAGTCACTAAAAGCACTAGGATAACAAGTAATTATTAAATAACAGAAGTATTGGTTTTAACCTGCCTTTACTAAAGCCTGTACTAAATTGAATTGAGACTCAAACTTGTTTTCCTGCTTTACTGTCATCTAGAGTCGTATCTCTAGGGCAGAAGAATGTTAAAATTTAGTAGTTTTCAAGTATATCCCCAAATTTTAAAAAGTATACATTTATTGTAACTAATTTTATAAATGGATAAAAAGTGGAATATAGGCTTCTTTGGGGAAATTAGGGGAGGATTGAGGAATAGGAAGTGATAAATTCAGAGATGTATGTAAATACTGTAATTTCTCTGTCTCAGCTGTGTTCTTGTTGGAACTTATATGTTGCTGAACATGTGATCTTCCTTTGTATGCTTTTGAGTTCGACCAAATTGAATTCCAGAGACAGGTTGTAATTCAGCTCCCATTTAAAAAGCAGGCCTTACATTCTCTGCAATGGTCCTTTCCCAACACACATGGTAATTTTTTAGTTGTAGTTTTCCATGTACAGTTTGCTTTTTTGCTTTACCTGTTTTATAATCACAGTGTATCATTACAGAAATGGTAATCCTTTCAGCTTATATTTTACTTAAACTTCCATAAATTATTTTGAAAATGATCAGTTATGAATTTCTGTAAATTTGAAATTATGCAAAATATCAATTGTGAAATGATATATTGTTCAATTGTGAGTCCATGTTTTTCCTTCAAAGCCATTTACCCTGTGTTGTGATTGTATTGGTAATCTTTGTAAAACTCATCACTTTTGAAGTTGTAAGACTGACTTCAAGTTCTTTACTTTCCTTACAACAATTGTAACTAACAGAATTATGTACTATAATTTCTCTGAACTTTTTTCTTTTTGTAAAATGCAATTCTAAAAATGAGTCCTTCATACAGATGCTTGAAAGATCAAAGAATACAACTTTGCTGAAGGATGTGTAAGCTCTGAAATAGTTTATACATATTTCATTGTCGTATATGTGATGTATTCTTTTAAACAACTACCATCTTGTTTTGAATGACAAACATGGAAGCATGCATATAAGATATAAATACGTGTACATATATATTACATGTATATGTACACATATATGTATATATTGGCAGTGAGGGAGTTAATTATATTTGCCAAATAACTTGGGCTTAAGAAATGTACAAGTCTTAGCCCTCAAGTAGAAGAGGTTTTGAAAGACTTAAATAGATTTTTGAAGGATTCCCACCCCCTCCATTTAAAGATAGCACAATAGATGAACCAGATATATATCTATAGATATAGATATAGATATACACATTTATATTTATTTGTAAGTCTGAAAACATGGTGACAGCTTTGTAAAAATTCTTTGAGCACATTTATATGAAGAACTAGTATCAGTTAAAACTGTTCAGTAAAAATTTTAAAAATAGCCTCACAAATTCATGTTGTAGCAAACTCCTTTTGTCTCTTTGTGGCTTAGAGGTAGACTTCCCCCATACAACTCTCTGGGATATTGACATTAGCACTGCAAACAATTGTTCTCTGAATATAGTCATTATTTAATAGCCAGCCAGTGTCATATTAACTTACTGCAGTAGTCAATAGATACTTTTTCAGTAGTCAGAGAAAATTAATACTTTGATTAAAAGAACAGATTTTTTTTTACAGAGTAATTGCCCTGCTTCATTTTTGATTGTATGTAAAATATAAACTTAACCACAAATTATAAATAGATACATTTTTTACAGACTGTTAAGGAGACAGGCTTTAACTTATACATAACTTTGAAGTAAAATTTCTTCTGGAAAGTGTAAGAACTACTTGAACAATTTTAGGAGAACCCATGAATCAGTGTTGGCTAACATCACATAGCTCCCTTTTACTCTGTGCCTTGATGTCAGAGTAACAATATCAAACCAGACAACACAAGCCCCTAACAACTGAGAAAATGCAGTTCTTTATTTGTTCTGTTATCAAATTCAAGTCTAATTCAGCAAAGGCTTAATTCTAGCCAGAAATGTTATTTTTAGCTATATTAGGAATTCCCTTCGAATTTTGTATTATATCCAAAATGCAGTGAATGTTTTTAGGAGATGTTAAAGTCTTGCAAATGTTGTATTAATTCCTTTGTGCAGTATCTTGTGCCTCAATGAAACTGAGCGCAAGTGCCCACATATGTGCTGTTTTGAAATTTGTATTGAACTTGGGGGCTTACTGTATATATTTGCCACATATTATAATTTTGTACAAGACTATAACGTACAGCTTATAGAAATACATTTAGGAAGTGATTCTTTCTGTGTAGTTGACATCTTTTAGTTTTTTCTTCTATTTTCAAATAAAATTAGGAAAAATATCATCTAAAGATGACTGTTAATTTACTGACTTAAATGTCTCCTCTGTATTAGCCTCTTTGATGACTCTAGTATAGGGTTCCTCCCTCAAGAGTTTGGGAAAGTTTGCTTTGACCTCAAGCAGGGAAGATAAAAGAATGCTAAGGTTTGAACTTAGCAGAGAAATGATATATCTTTATTGTCATTGCCAGCATGAATATGTGAAAGTCTGTGACAAATCACCAAAATTTTTTATGACATTTGACCTCTATTATTTTTCCTGTACTAGTTCTGAATTTGTTTTGTGAAGTAGAATTTAATGCCTAATGGCTATAATTTTTGTTATTGGCAAATATGATTATACTCCATTAATAATGTTCTTTCAGATTTAATTTATATTTTAATTAATTTTAGTTTCTTACCTTTTGCGCCTATGTACCCAGCATCTTTCTTGTGTGTATAGAGCTTCTAGCAAGTACGTAGTCCCTTGTTTACATTTGTTAGGTTAAAGCAGTTTTCTTCACTTTAAAATATGCTAAACTTGGACCCTGACTTCTCCTGGGTAATGAGTTTATTCTGTCATTAAATTAATCTGCATTCTTATTTTTCACATCCCTCTACCTCCACTCAGACCAGCCAAGGTCAAGGAGGGCCAGGGAACGGGGTTCTGGATATTCAAGGTCTTGTAGCCTCCAAAGCGATGGAAAGGCTGTGAAGCAAAGGAAGGAGAAACCAAGACGTGCACTGGAGAATGTGGAAGAGCGGGAAGAACTTTGTGCATCAAAGAGGTCCTTGTCGTCCTGTAGCCGGGACCCAGTGAGGGAAGCTCCACATGTCACCAGTGAGCATGATGAAAGGACACGTTCTTGTCAGGAGAGGATTCGAAGACCACCACTTCCCAAGATCAGTGGAGATGTGTTTCTGAGTACTGAATCTGGTGACTGGGAGGCTAAAAGTAGCCACCGAACTCGGAATTGGGAAAAACGTTCCCAGCATCAAGACCAGCTTTCACCCAAATCCTCACAGAGAGCAGGGCTTCATTGCAAGGAAGCCATGTATGGGAGGGACCCTGGGCAAGGTGAGCACAGAGAAAGGAGACAGAAACCCAAGACCCCTCCCTTCTCAGAGAGTGAGGAGCGGCACCACCTCCACAACACAGGTAATACAGGGTAGCCCCATTGGTGCGCTGGTGTCATGTATGTGCATACAACAAATCTGTGTCATAAGCTTGTAAGCAAAATTCTTCCTCTCCAGTATTCATGTACATGAGTGCAATTGTAGAGCCAAATATTGTAAAAGGTAATATTATGAATCTGTGGTATGTAGGCGGAAGGAAAATGATTGTACCATTCTCTTTCTGAGAAAATATACTGATGCCTTGGGAGGTCCTTTCTGGCCTAGATAACAAGTGGAGGTGCTCATCCCAGTCACACTTCTTCGATTGCCAAGACTGTCCGTCACAGATCCTTGATACCCAACTAAAGCTCCTGAATTTCTGGTTTTACCTCACTAACCCCAGAAGATGTGGTGATACTGCTTTAATACTGTTTGCCTACTGGTAGGGCTGGAAGTACTGGATTTTCTAGGCCATATGTTTCTCATCTATAAAATGGGAGATTGTGTAGGCAGTCATTTAAATGAGTATTTTCACTATGGGCCTCAATTTGTTTTCATCAGAAACAACTGGGCTGTTTCTTAAAAACGCAACTTCCTGGTCAGTTTGGACATGTTTTCAAGCTGGAGGCGATTCTAATGAAAGTGAAGTTTGACAATCATGCTTTAAGTTCTTTTGTATGCTCTCACTCTTCCACCTGTATCTGTGCAGTTGGGTGTTCTAAAGTACATGCGAAGGTAAGTTGTTGGTACCTTAAAGATGAAATGTCAGAGGGATTCTCTAGCTTGGTGACTTCTGCTGGGCCTTCACTCTGAAGTCCATCATGACACAGAAAAGGCTCTGCTGTCTGGAGCCCCCTGAGCTGCTGTTCTCCCTGTGGCTGTAACACTCAAGGCCCTGTTTTCGCTGGTCCTTTAGTAGACCACACTCATCATCCCGGTTTTATTTAACTCTCATTGAAATTTTGTATAGAGAAAATGGTTACTGGGAGAGGTTCCAGTTGTGACTTAGTTGTACTCCACTTGTAGGTGGAGAGCTGGCTTCTAGGTTGCAAATTCAGATTGAGTTTTATTCTTAGTTTTCTTTTCCCTATCACGTTATCTCTAATGAAAAGACTTGGTTCTAAAAACAATTAAAACTCAGTTTAACAAGCCATCCTGAGTACTGGTCATGGATAATCTTGTCTTGGACTTCATGCTTGCATTTAAGCCTCAGAGGGTTAACAGATTCATTGTGTTAGGGAGAAGTGAACAAGGAGCTGTGGGGTAACAGAAAAGAGCATTATGATCTTCCGTGGAGTAGGCTTATGGGGGAAGTCATTTATCTCCAGTTTTAGAAGGACATGGTGAGACCTCCAAAGGAAGTAGGGGAGGAAGGGTGGTTACAGTACTTCTGCACTTCTGATTCTGTGAATTTGACCTATAAATGTGCTCTGAGGGGTGGTTTTTATGGCTTTTAGGAATGCTCCATGGTGTTTAAAATAGGTGTAGGAAGCATGGAACCAAACACTGATACCCAGACTCCAGTGAGGGAGTTGCAACAAATGTTTCTTTTCTTGGCATAAAGGTTTAAAAAATGGAGTTAGGCAGGCTTTAAAATGATTATAACATGAACTGCTTATACTATTATTTTATATCCAGCTTGCTTTATAAATCTTACAACCCTACTAGAGTAGGTTGGAAGATTACATTCAAATATAATAAGTAAAAGCACAATTTCTAAAGTTGTTTTCATAAATCACAGTTTTATTTAATAGTGAAGTTATATTAGAATATTGTATGGCAACTTCTTTTCAGTTGACACCACCAAATACTAAATTCCCTATGTGATGTTTTTCATTGTCCATGAAATCATTCTAGGTAAGATCAATCTCATCATAATTCAGGAAGGCTCAAATTCCATTTTTTCATATGGGCCACCCTTAGGAGTGTGCCACTGTTTTTTGCTGTTTCAGCAGTCATACATCTGGCCCTGTGTACAGTGTAGTAGCTGTGAAGATGGTGTGAAGTGGTCTCTATAATCAGGCCCTCACAAGTCTGAAGCTGAGAAAGCCAGGGTTTCTTACCTTTTCTTCTGGTTCTAAAGAGTACTACATGAGTCTGTGGCTTTTGAACTTAGCACAAAGCTTGGTTGAATGGTTACGAGAGGCTTCACAAGATGACCTTAAATCCCTAAATTTAGCTTGCTTTCTCTGTGTGGTACAACATTTTATTGGAAGCCATTTTAATGTACAGGTGTTTTGGTGGACAGTGCACTGAACTAGTGGTTTGATTGTTACTTCTAATGAAGAATCAGCTGGTTTCAAATCAGCAAAGCCAGCTTCAAATTAGAATCTCTAAGGATTGGGACAAATACTGTTCTAGTCTTTAAAGTTCCCCAAGTGATTCTAATGTGACCATGATTGCCCAACATGGTGCTATAGAAAGAGGTAGAAAATCAAGTAAATCATTTGCTTTACTTGAAAATTATAAAAGGAATATATGCTGCTCATAATATTCAAAGTAAAAAGCCAGAGTTGGCCACCACTCCCCCATGTTCTTTTGTCTCCAGTGGAATAGAACTCTGAAGGCCTTGTACTGTTTGACACACACCCTATTTTATAGCTTCCCTACAATTAAGTAATGACATTAAGGAATGTATTAAAGCTGTGAGAAAGATCTAAAGCAAGTGGTTTGTTTAATATCAGCACAAACCATGGCAGAGCCCCTGGTTTGCAAATAGCAATTTTTTGCAGTTTACGAATGATGATTTTCTGGTTTTCTATGGTAAGAAAGAAACTTCGGTAACCAGGAGAAAGCTTCTCATCTCCAGTCTTGTCGGTCTCTTTCAAACTGTGATTGTGTAACTGTCTTTAAGTTATTTTCTTTTCAGAGTGACTTAATGTCTACTTATTTTGTGAAGGCCTCACTTGTGGTTCCTAGCATAAGTTTCTGCTGTTTAAGAAATGTGAGAGGAGAGTTTTTGCCAGGCAGGGTTGAGTGGGTGACTGTTAAAATATATGGCTTATTTACACTGTCACTTCCAGTCCTAAGAAAAGTAAGCTTCAAGCCACCCCCAGTGAATTCTGACATGGAAGCAGTTTCAGCAAGTGTTAGATATTAAGCAAACAGTGTGAGTTGCCTAACTGCATTGAACTTTCTCCCAGGAGTGAAACCAAGGGCGACAAAAGAAGCTGTGTGCGCTCCATCACGAGGGACCCACAGAGATCAGGAATGGTATGATGCTGAAATTGCCAGAAAACTGCAAGAAGAAGAAATTTTGGTGAGTACATTTTAAGGCAAAAGTTCAGGGAATCAGTAGTGCTTTTGTGGGTTGAATCAACTGTACGAGTGTGAGCTGATTTGTAGCTCTCCACTGGCTAATAAATTAGTAGTGAAAAAAGGAAGATGAGAGACCAGAGCACAGCAGTTCTCCCTTCTCTATAGTTCATGGCAGTGATTTCAGTTACCTGGAGTCAAATATAGGTCCAAATATTGAATGGAAGATTTCCAGGTGGGGTGTAGTGGTGCATGCCTGTAATTCCTGTGCTCAGGAAGAGTACCATAAGTTCGTGGCCAGCCTGAACTGCACAGCAAGACCTTGTTTCAAAAAAAAACAAAAACAGAAAATTCCAGGCAGAAATAAGCAATTCAAAGGTATTATTTCAACATGTTATTATAATTGTTCTTTTATTATTATTATCAAATTCTTTGTGAACTTATTTATTATGGGATATATGTATAGAAAATGAACGTAGTGTATGTAGAGATTAGTACTTTCCACAGTTTCAGGTTTCTGTTGAGGATATTAGAACATATTCCAAGTAGATAAAGTTGGACTGTTATATCTACTTTCTGAAAGTCATCATTCCTGTCTTTGTATTGTTAATGTCTGATAATTTTCCTCATCTGCTCTAGAATCTGATCAAAAGAGCCTCTACTCTGGCTAGTGACTGTACACCAGCTGCTCATCAGTTTCAGGGACATAGTTTCAGGTGCAAGTGTACATAGGGTTTTTAAAGTGGGCACCATGGATTCCAACTGTGTGATTGTTTTCTGTGGCATTTTACCACAGGCTACCCAGGAGGACATGAGAGCGGCTCAGGTAGCCCAGGATGAGGTAAGTTCATATTTGTGAGTTTAACTGATAGCCTTTGGAAATATTTTAGTAATTTTCTACCTGCATCTGCAGTTAATGGTAGCGACTTTATCTTTTTAGGAAATAGCTAGACTTCTAATGGCTGAAGAAAAGAAAGCTTACAAGAAAGCCAAAGAACGGGAGAAGACATGCTCAGACAAAAAGCATGACGTCGAGTGGAAGGTAGAGTGTATATTTTGGTTTTTAATTAGAAACAAATTTAGAAATAAGTGCACTGTACTTTTAAGCTCTACAAATATATTTAGGATCCCTAAATTACCTGTATTACATGTTAATCTATTGTGTATAAGTTCTTTACTATGAAAACAATTTAATTTCTGAAAATAACTAAAAAATTTTTTGCTGTTTGAAAAACTCCTGTTCATCTTAAGACCTCCTGAGATAAGGTCCTTCTGGTCAACTGTGGTCTTAGGTTTCATACATTTACATTCCTTTAGGAGAATCTGGTATTTTTACATGCTTTCAGAACTTTCACAGTGATCTCTTTCTCTCTTTGTGTTTGAGTTCCCCCTTATGCTTCATGAGCCTCCTACTCTTCCCTTTGACATATGGAAGAGTGGCAGATGTATACCTATCACTGGTAGTCAGTGCGTACGTCACAGTGTAAGAACTGTTACAGGCTTAGACTGGTCACTTTGCTTTCATTTATCAGAAGTAGTGATAAAGTTGCTAGTGATTATAGTTCATTCTGCTGTACAATAATTTGATTGATGTATGTGGTGATTCTAAGTTGAGTTGAGAGACTATTAGTAACTGTATTGCAAGGCAGCATTCTGTACCTAAGTGGACAGAGGTATCGTTTTTGGAATAGTGGTATATAATATAGAGAGGAAGACAAGTGATAGGCAGCTAAGAAATACATGCGCACATTGGGTGAAGAGCAGAGAGGGAGAAAGAATTCATAATACAGAGGCTTTCTAGAGAGGGAATTTGATGAAATGTGGGATCAAGCAGCCTGGCATGAGTATCCATGATAATGTTGAACTTTATTTTGAGAATTTTATTATTTAATTGTATTTGAGTAAATTTGTACATAAGATTTAGAACTCAAGATGGCATTGATTTTTAGCACTTCTTTTGCTTCCAAAAATTTCTCCCTTGGATCTTTATTCCTACCTCATAGTCTCTGTAATCGCTGTGAACTGGAAGAGGACATGGAAACCATGCTAGTAGTATTATTTTACTGGTTCTTAATTTTCATGTACTCAGTCTTAAAAAAAAATGAAAACATTATTTTTATATTTACTTAGCACCCCTTTACCCTCTTTAGTTTTCAAGAATTTCTTCTGAAACTTAATCTTAGCAAAGTATTCCCAAATGCTTCTGCTACACAAGTTAGTTGTGTATCACTTGTCTTCCTACTATTATATATTATTACTATATACTGTTATATACTGTTACTCCATTGTCTTTCTATGTAGGTCCAGAGTGGTGCCTTGCACACAGTTACTAACAAATAGTCTCTCAAATCAAACTTAAAATCATCACATATACCAGTTACTCATATTTTTTGTTAACTAGGAAAGAGTAGTATTTTATAGATTACAAATCAGAAAAGTCAAAAGACTGTAGCTACATTTCTAACAAGTACTGTGACTTCTACAATGTCTGAATTCTGTAACTGGTGCTGATGCAGTTTTTCTCTTGCAAAATTGACTTGCATGTACCTTAGTTGCCCAACTAGAAAGTAAACAGTCCTCCTCTGCACACAGAAGAGTTGGAGTCAAATGTGGATTGTCTTGACCATGGTATCCAGTCTTCAGGAGTTTCTGTGCAGCTCTTATGTCAGTAACCCGTGGCTGTGCCTGCTTAGGTGTACCGTTTGCCTTCACGCATGTGTGCCCCACTCATTTGGCTGTACTGGCCTTAGATCCTATCTTTGTGGCTGTAATTTTTTTCAATATTGAAGGGCCATGTATAAAAAATACTTTCCTTTGCTCAACTACATGTAAATAACCTGAAATTAACAAAGAAGAGTTTGACATGGTCAATAGATTTTTTAAGCTTCATCTTTCTTTTTCTTTTTTGATTTTTTTTTTTTATATGTATGTGTCTTATTTTTCTATCCATAGTCAAAAACTAAGGCAACATACTCTAAATCAAAAGAAAGCAGCGAGGCTCACCGTTGGAAGACCGACAGGCCAGCGCGGTAAGCTGGCCCTGGGGAGGGCATGGACAGCTTGGCCTGGGTGCAGTGAGCTCGTGTCCTTGCCTGTGAGGACAAGCTCCAGAATGCTGTAGTTGTGACATCAGGGGTTATGGTGTTGTTTTCACACTCTTTTTTCCAGTCTTTAACCAGTTGTATAAATCAAATAAGGGCTATCATACAGAATCTGGTGTGTGTAAGAAAGGATGTGCTTTTTATAAGAATTAATTCTTAAGTTATGCATTCATGAAGTTCATGCCTTCAAGTGGGTAGAGAAAATTAACTGTTTCTCTACTTAAGATTTCAGGCTTTAAATTTTTATTGGATTTCTTCCTGGCTACTGCCATGCCACACACTGCTGTAAGCATAGTATTTGAACATGCTGGGTCTTGCTTCTGAGGCGAGATAACCTAGGCCAGTTCTTGAGTCATGCAGACTCTACAGTTCAGTCGGGCAGATGGCTGTGCCTTGGTGTGTGTCTTCCAGCTGCTTGCTGTGCACTTCCACTTGGGAACCCTGATGTCTGTAGGGGAGCCAACTGGTTTTATTGCTTTTTGCGAATTTCCAGAGAATGTGTGATTGGAATATGAAGTGACCGCTTGAAATAAGATGAGGGAGTGTGGTGGGGAGGGAGGACAGGGGCAAGGTCGACCCATGGGCTTCCAGCTAAGTAGGAAGTGATGCTGGTGTGCACTTGGCTCTTGCACGGGAGGGTGAGGATAGCAGGAAAGAGCTGTGTATTTTGGAAATAAGCTAGAACGAGAGTTCTGAAAACTGTCGCCGTAAAGAAGTGATGTGTTTGAGGAGATCAGTGTGCTTAATCTTATTCCGTCACTATATCACACATACAGATACTTACATAGCACATTATTCACCTAAGATGTTCGATTTTTATATTTTCATGTATGTTAATTTAAATAAAAAGACAAAAATAACATTAATATTTGAAAATGGAATTATTAAAACCTTGAATTTGGTTCTAATTATTATTAAACTTATTAAAATATAAGTTCAATAATACCGAGAAGTTCGATACTGCTGTGATCACTTACTGCTCACACTTACGCTACTAGACTTACTTCCTTCTAGTGAATGTAGTTAGTGTCTTTAGAAAAGCAATGCTCTATATTAAAAGTTACATGCTTTCAGAAATTACTCTTTGGAAGATGAATTCAGGTTGTATTATTCTGAGGACAAGAGGAGTATAGTCTGTGTAAAACCTATTGCTCAGATTAAATCACCTGCTTAAGCAGATGCAGCAACCAGAGTTCAGGCCCCAGCATGCCATGCTGGCCCTGCCCCTAGGATGAGATGAGATGAGATGGCATTGAGACTGGGCATGGTGACATGCACCTGTAATCCAGCACCTGGGAGGCTGAAAACAGGAGGATCACTACGAGTCCGAGATCTGTATAGTGAGACCCTATAGACTCTGTACTAAATACATTAAAAAAAAAAAAAAAAATCCTGAGCATTGCTCACTAGGGAGGTAGCATAGAGGCATAAGCATCTGCCTGGCAAGTGTAAGGTTTGATCTCTGGTGCCAAAAACTAACAAACAAACAAACAAACAAACAAACAAACTGTTGCTCTTACAGCTTCTGTGTTATGTGCATGTGTCAAACATATTTAAAGTTACATTTTAGAGGCTGATGAGATAGCTCAGTGGTTCAAGGTTCCATCCCGGACACCGTGTGCTGTGCCAGCCCCACCTGTAGGGGGACTGAGCCAGGTACAAAAAAAGTCACGTTTTCTAAATAAATGGTTTCATGTGTCCACAGCTAAGATACAAACATCTGTTCTCAGGAGTTTAATATATCTAGGTTATCATCCATTTTTTTAAAACTGAAATTCATGTAATTTTTAGCATTATTTTCACTTTGTTATTCAAAGTTCTTGACATTTAGAACATTAATTATTTCTTTAGCAGATGTGATAAGTGAGTGTAGGGATGTAAATATGTACTCTAAACATATTTGATGTATTAAAAAATCAATAATTGAATAATCCTGTATTAAAAATCAGTTATAAATTAGTGAAAAGTGAGTTATAGCTAGTAGAACTTAAATCTCTTCTGACCTAAGAGGAACATTTCTTTTTTAATATCATTTACTGAAAGATTGTGTATATGGCAAAATGAAAATGAGTAAGAATTTTGTGAAACATTTGCATTGAAAAAGTCTTACACTGTGGGGCCAGAGAAATAGCTCAAAGGCATAAGCACCTACCTGTCATGCACAAGGACCTGAGTTCAATCCCCAGCCCACATGCAGTATGGTCTAGGCCCTAGATGCCCAGGTGCTGACCATGTGGCCCTGGAACCAGGCATGGTGGTGCATACCTGTAATCTCAGCACTCAGAAGGTTGAGCCAGGAAGATCTCTGCAAGTTAGAAACCAGCCTGGAGGCTACAGACACAAGGCCAGCCCAAACTACATAGTGAGACCCTGTCTCAAAAAGAAAAAAGTCTTTAACGGCTAATGTATGCTTTCGAGTCAGATTATCTGAGTTTACATTTACATTTTACATATCTTTTACATTTAACCATGAAGGAAAAGTTTAGTTATCTGTAGAGAAAACACTGGCTTTAGGGATTGAAAAACATGGACCTTTGTAGGTCAAGATGCTTATTACTTCAGGATAGCAATAGTAGTAGAGGAGAAACACTTTTTCTTTGTTCCTTACAAATTTTTATTTCCTCTCTAAGAAAGTAGAGAAGCAGCTAGGAATCTGAATTAATTATAACACTAATAGGAAAGTTGACCCAGTTTCCAAATTGTTTTAACAACAGGATTTTACATTGGTAATACTAGTTGGAATTTTGCTTTCATTTTTACCTTAGAAAAACCTAAAGATATAACCAGGCCTGTTGGCCTGTGCCTGTAATCCCAGTGCTCTTAAGCTGAAGCAAGAGGATCTCAAGGTCAAGCCCATCCTAGGCAATTTAGTGACCTAGCTGGTCTCTGTCTTGGAAAAGAAAAAGTTTTAAAACTAAAGCTCTTCAAATTTTATTTAGTTCCCACACATTTTTATGAATTACATTTGATCTTCATTTAGTCATTTATAAAGTATTTATTGCGAACTCCAAAATTGCCTGTAAGTGGGGTAAGCAGCAGCCCACAAGAGTCAGTTGTTTCAAGCTGTCGTGAAGTTTATATATAGTCTTAAGCAAATAATTGTCCAAATAACTATTATGATTATTTTAGGTGCTGTGAATAAAAGGCAGAAGGTATATAAGAGCATAGGGAGACCTTAACCTGGTTTGGGAGTCCAGGTAGGTTTCTTGAAGAAGTGATTTTAGAAGTAAATTCTAAATATTTCCAAATTAAAGATGTTAATCCTTTTGTGAAAATCAGAAACATAATCCTAAATCTCACCCCCCCCCAAAAAAAAAATCTGTATGAACTGTTGTTTCATCAGAGTTTTTCTAGCGTTGGGTATAATACCCTTAACTTTAAAGCAACCATCATTACAACAAAATACTTTGCTAGAACTCCTGAAAACAGTAAACCAAATTTGTTCTTTGTGTGGCCAAACACTGAGCAGAACCACACACCAGTAGAGCTGGGATATCCCACAGAGATTGGTTTATCCTTGCATGGCAGGCCCGGAGCACTGGTGGCATCCATTGGCACCCTTGTCCTTGATGATGAGGTCATCTTGAGGCAGTGTCCTGGAATGATTTTCAGTTCCTACTCCGTTTGATATCCTCGTAAAGGCTAATGAAGGAGGGAGGAATACAGACTCTGACAGTGATTACCGCTCTTTTTTTGGGTTGGAGTCACTACTGTCGCCGCCTACTTTGTGAAGCCAATTTTCTTAATTCTGGAATCAGGTTTTTCTTTCCTTAATTCTTTTTAGCAGCCTTTTACTTTTTAAAGATGTTCTATCAGTAAATAATACAAGTTTTCATTTTACTTCTAATATTTTTAATCAAGTCGTTCTTAAATATGTATTTTTTAATCTTTTATTTATTTTCTTATTTGGTACAGAGTCTCACTTTGCATTTCAGACTCTTAGTAATCCTCCTGTTTCACCCTCCCCAGCATTGGGATTATAGGTGTGCGCCACCACATTCCATTTTGGTGGCTGGCATGGCATGCAGTACTGCGGATCAAACCCTTGCACCTGCCAGGTAGATGCTTAGACTGCTGAGCTGTCTCCCTGGCCCTCAAATGGTTCTTACAGAAGAAGCCACATTTATGTTCACACTAATTATATGTATTAAATAGCAGATGAGTGAAAATATAAAAATGTGCATCTCATAAAAATATCTTTTCAAACAATATTTCAAAGTTAAACACATAGATACTTATGGATACATACACAAATACACATAATCTTGGGTACAGATGATATCTATGAAAACACATGTTTATTTAGCTCTGTAATTGTTCAGTGCACTAAGTTTTATTCCATTTGTTCTTGAGTGCTAGCTGTGCCACTTAATAACTGAGTGTGCACAGATTCTTTACCTAATTTAACCTAGTCTAATTCTAAAACATTTGCATGACACCTGCTGTGCAGTTTGTCCTGCAAGTCAATAGAGATAATCTGTATAGAGCCAACAGTGCAGACCTTATTGTGTATAAACGTTTACAGCCCTTGCTGACCTGTTCCACAGGCATGATACTCAGAGACCCCCAAGCAAGGGCTGAGTAGTGTGAAACACCTGCCTTATTTTTATATTATGGAGCCCATTGTACCAAACTGACTGTAATTTTACCAGCCCCAGAAGACTTACACACTAGAATTGCACAAAATGTCCAGCATGGTTGTGTATTTGAGAAACTTTAACCTTATCTGGTTCCATGCTTTAAAGTAAAATTTGAATATACCTTTTGGGGTGGGGGTGGGCGCAAAGATTTTCTTTCTCCATGCCACATGTTTTGAAATACATTTTAAGTAGATAAAATAATTTTAGAGAAGTATTTAGTAATAAAAACTACCTAATTTTACACTTTTTGGCATAAAGTTGTAGATGTATCTCAGATGAAGTACTGCAGTTACTACGATCTACTTTGCCCCCTGCTGGATGAAGGGGCTGTGCTCAGGACACACTGCTGTCAGACTCCTTCCACCCTACCCCCTTCTCTACCTGCCTGCCACCCTTTCCTGCTGTTCCTTTTTTTCCTTTTCTTAACTTTGTCATTTTCTTCTATTCTTTTATTTTTCTTGGTAAAAGAATATTTTATTTTTCATACTAAAACAAAGCAGATTTTCATCAATGGCAGCAGTTGTACCTCATTCATCTTTATTTCTCTTGCACTGTGGTCATATTTAGTGACCAACATTTGGTGTCAGGAAAATATTTGTTTTGGTTGAATCTTGCATGTCAGAACAAGAGGAGGGTAGGGTAAAAGAACTTATTCAGGGTTGTGCAGCCCTCCTGGAGAACTGTAGGAAGCATTTAGGCTTTTCCTTTCTACTTCTGCTGTGCAGCCGTCCAGTGCGAGGTAGAACTGTAACTATCATCGCTTAGGTGTCTGTTTAAATTCTGACTTCCGCCAGGCCGCCACCGACTGCCATGACAGAAACGGAGGACCTAGATGGCACTCACTGTACAAACCAGCACAGTTCCACACGTCCTTACTCAAAGTCAGACTCCTCTCATAAAGGTAAGAAGAGTATACGGTGACGTTTTCAATGCTTTTTATAGCCTCATGTTATGGTGGAAGACCAGATGCTGTCTTCTGACTGCTAGAGTGGAAAAATGAGTTTTCTTCCTCTTAAGAAATCATCCTATTGGTGTCATGTCTCCTTCTACCTCCTACCCCAGGGATGGTACTGAACCCAGGCCTTCGTATTTTTTTTCTTTTTTGATTTTTAATTTTTATGTATTTAGTACAGAGTCTACAGGGTCTCATTACATAGATTGGACTCATAATGATCCTCCTGTTTTCAGCCTCCCAAGTGCTGGGATTAAAGGTGCATGCCATTATGCCCAGTCTCGGTTGCTGTTTCAGCACACCTTGGGGGTGGGGCCGGCAAGGCAGGCTGAGGGATCGAACTCCCTTCCTCTGCATCTGCATAAGCAGGCGCTCTGATCCGCTGAGTTATTTGGCCAGCACTCTTTGTCAGATTCTTGAAGTGTGATTATCTTTTCAATTAATTTTGTTAGTATATATTTGCTGTACACGTTGATCCCATTAATCACAAGGAATTTGCACCTGTATATAACACATCTTGCTTTCCCTTTTGCCAGCTCCCCTTCTTTGTTCATCTCCTCCCATTTACACAAGCTTTGTTTCCATTTTTTCCTCCCATTCTTTTTCCCTTCCTTTCCTTCCCCTCTTCCTTGTTCCCTCCCATTTGACCATATTCTCCCTCCCTTGCAGTATCTACCCTTCATTCCACTCCTTATTTACCCCTTGCATTTCACATATGAGATATGTGGTATTTGAACATGTGTGTCTGATTTACCTAGGATTATGGTCTTAAGATGCGTGTATTTTCCTACAAATGACTCCAGTTTATACTTCTTCGTGGTTCCATTGTATATAAACATAGCACATTTTCTTTTTGTGCACAGGAGTTGTTTCAAGATTTAGCTATTACAAATTATGGTGTTATAAACATGGTTATGAATATTTCATTGCATGCCATTCCTAATTCTCACAGGAAGATAGGCAGAAGAGGAATAGCTGCGTCAAATGGATCTCCATTTTGAGGACTCTGTTTCAGTGTTTTGAGGACTCTCCATACTGGTTTCCATAGTAGGATTCTGACCCTCAGCTAAATATATTCCTTTTGCAATGCTTTTTGATGCAAGTTAAGCACTTGAAATCCCAAAATCTTAAATGTATAATATTTTGAATACTGATGGAACATTCAAAACATTTCAGATTCTGAAACAGTTCTGGTCTCAAGAATTTTGGATAAAGGCTGTTGTGCCTTTATTGGATATTGTTTCCCTTCTGCCTGTGACTGTATTTATTAGCTTTAAAATGTCTTGTTTAAAACTTGCATACTACAAAAAACTTCTATGCAAAAGAAAAATGGAATAAAGCAAATGGGGAAAGAATGTGTGTATTTCTGTTGGAGTAAAGCCTTAAGATAGAAGGGTTAGATACATTTGCTCTTTTAGGATGTCTGTCTATTGTGAGAATTTAAAAATGGAATAATAAAAATACAGTGATTGAACATCCTTATCTATAAAATGGAGGAAGTCTGTTTTCTCTGGAGCTGTCGAGATCATAAAGATGAAAAGTGTGAAAGGAATCTGCAGATTGCAAATTTTACGAAATATGGGTCTGACCAATATATGGAGTTTAAGGGTTGATACAATTTCTGATGTTTTTTAGTTAATATATTTGTTATCCTTTCCCAGAGCTAATGGTAGTCTCCCCAAATTTGTTTAAATTATTTGCATTAAAAAAAAAACAAACAAACAAAAACACTGCCAAAAGAAAATGCCATTTCCTAGATGATATTTCTTGCTACTTAGATGAGAGTCTCTGGGTTAGGAATGAGACATTTCAATTTTTTAAAACTTTCTCATCCTCTATTTCTAATATTCAGCCAATGTTGAGAATAAGATAAAAGACATTATTAAAAGATAAAGTTAGTTGTATAACAAAATTATAAATGTCATTATCAAAACTGCTTGCTCACCAGTTTCCATCAGCTGCTCACATTTTTACCATCTGTGACTTTATTTCTTTCTCAGATCCTGCATGCCTCACTTTTTGGGGGGCATCTGTCACCAACATGTATTTGATGCAAAATATTACAATAACATATTTACTTTATATATTAATATTTTAAAATTTAGAGTAAAGGAGCCACAGAGATAGCTCAGCAGTCTAAGCACCTGCCTAGGCAAGTGCAAGGACCAATCCCTAGTACTACAGGCAGTGTCAGCCCTGCCCCAGGCACCATGCCAGCCACCAAGTAGGGCGTGGTGGCACATGTCTGTAATCCTAGCGCCGGGGAGGCTAAAAACAGGAAGATCACTATGAGTCTGAGCTGCATAATGAGATCCTGTACCAAATATTAAACTAAAAAAAAAAAAGTAAAAACAAATAAAGAAGAACCAATTGGAATGCATAGAAATGAAGATAAATTATCTTGCTTGAGTAAGGGGGAAAGATTGCCTGAGTTTCAGAGATTTTTTTCTTAACCATGTTTCCTTTTTCTCTCCCTTCCAGGTTTCCATTACAAGCAGTAAAATCTTGGGAATCTGCCTTGAAATGGACTCATTGTAGCAAATATTACTGGATGAATCAGAATGCAGTCCATAATTTTTCCTCCAGTTTTTTATTCCTGGGATTTATTTTCCAGTGTTTTTCTCATAAATAATTTCAATTCATTTCAGTATTTTCACTATTTTGATCACTTGGGCAGTATAAGAAAATATAGCTTCTGAATATTGACCACCTCTACATTGCGTATACTCATTGGGATATAGTATTGAAAAGCTCTATAAAATACCATTTTATTAGCTATACAGTATGAGTATCTAGGGACTAGGTTGATTCAGCAGTAAAATTCTGTGAAGATTAGTAATCAAAATAAAATAAGACATTAGGATGCAACAGAAAATGAATACAAGAAATAGCTCTTTGATTGTACTGGTTTGTGTTATTTTGAAAGCCCCAAGCTTTGTTTTTTACTGTTTTCAGGCAAAGAAAAAAGTCAAAGCCAATATGTGTTTTTTTCTGAAAAGAGACATCTGGAGTAGTTGAAATATGTTAGTTGGAGTACATGGCCTGCAGTGGTTGCATATCCTTGTAACTTCGGAAAACTAGGCCTAGATGCCATTCTGACATGCTATGCGATTGCTTTGTCGGTAGCCAGGCCTGTGGAAAACCCTGGCTATGAATCAGCAGCCATTGGAAAAGCTTACTTCCTTGAAATTGTAACTCAGGTTATGCACAATCAACTAAAAATGAAAGTTTTTATGTTGATTTGTAGTTGTATGTAGTGCCAAGTGAATATGATTATGTAAGTGAAGATACCATCTATTTCTCTGGCCATAGCTAAAAGTTTCTCTCTTCCTTATAGGGCGTAGTAACATTTGTTGTTTGTTGGCAACCTTTTTGAATTAGGCCAAGTGGTTCTTTATCCTGAATACGTGATTCTACACATTTGTTGATAGGCATTGTATTCCCTTAATCCAGCATTTTAACTGCTGTGGGCCATGCTACTGCCCTATGTTGTATTTCCTTGTACTGGAAGTCCTATTTACAAAATTCAGAATCATATTTAGCTGCTAACTCATAAAATTATTTGCCCATGCTGTTTAATTAACATAAATGGCAACCAGCAATCAAGATACATATATGTGTGTAAACTATATTCTTTTGTTACTCTTTTTCCATGTACAAATCTATTATTTTGGGCATTCCAGCATGGCTTTTAGGAAAGAAATATACTGATGACTGGAGAAAAGGATGTTAGTTTCACCCCCCTACTCGAGCTGCCTTCCTTTTGCCTTAATGTCCAGGCTCTCTTTAAAATTGGGTGATGTTTAGGAAGCTGTCAGAATAGAGGTGAACAATGCACTTGAGTCTCATTTTCAGGATTCCTTAAGTTTTGTATTGTAGGACCTTGAGTAAAAGACGCTAGAGAGTTAAATTCTGGGCAAGAGATAAGACCTTAAGGGATGCTGTCATTTGGGGAAAATGGAGGAAAGGGAGAATAGCAGCATCTGCAAGCATTATGAAAGGAATGTGGGACAATCTCCATTAAAGCAAGAGGAGACAAATGAAATACCATTATGCCAAATTAGAGGTTGTGATTTTAATATGTATAAGCCTGTTGACCTAGAGTACTGCTATGTTTTTCTTTATCTGCCCTGTGATTATCCTCATTATTTAAGTTTTTTGTAACAGTAACTTCAAAGAAAAAATACAGTTGTCATTTTATTTGATACAACTTGGGCAAATAGGCAATATCATGCCATATTTTTATTTTATAAATGTTTATTTTTCTATATCACACAGTGACCAGTTTTACTTTTAAAATTCTGAACTTCTTCATGTACTTCATTCAATCATATTTATTGTTGTAAAATGTTAACTTGACAAACTTCAGTCAAAAACTGTCAACCACTTACCGCTTAACTAGAGCACCTGCACTCAGCCGTCTTCGTGAGTGACCAAAGGTAGCATTGCCCTGTGGTAGCCAACTCAACATCAGTATTGAGAATTTGTTACTTTTTTAGGTTTTTAAAAGATAACAATTTTAAAATATTTTGTCTTTATTTTATTTTTTTTGAAAAGCACACATTTTTTAAGAGTATCAATAATTATTTACATGTGAACAAGGAGATAGAGATATATCCTCCATTTTCATTCAAATAATGTAAATATCTTTGAGATCATAGGAATAATAACAACTGTATTTTAATGGACTGCCAGACACTGTTCACTGTGTTCTCTGCTTTTTACTTTTGTCATTTTTATATAAATGTAGAGACATTTATTTTGTTCTTGGTCCTGCTTTTGGAACACATGCTATTTAATTTTTAGGCCACAGTGTATTATACTTAAATGTTGTCATGTAAACATATAGTTTTGGCTGTGAGCAGCTTCCGTGTTGCCAGGTTTCTGCTTTGCAGGCCGGGCCCCACTGATACCATTGTTGCTGAGTGAGGACGGTGCGTTACTGAGCCGTGTCTTGGAATCTTGACACATATGATCTCTCCCTCACCTCACTGTACATCGTTGCTTGGGAAGAGAGATTAGATGGGGGTCACATTCAATGTTAGGACTTGAACAAAACTTGGCTCTGTTCAAGCCACTGTTAGACATGATTTGGTTGTGAGACTGGACAGTTGCTTCATGTTTTAAAACAACGTTGAGATTTTTTTAGAAGATAACTTTGTATACTATTTCTCAAGTGACTTCAGTGAACAACAACATACTAATGAGCTGCAAAACAAAAATACTGTGTGGGGATTTTGTTTATAGAAAAACATCTCTATTGGTAAAGATATTGCTCCTCAAGGACGACAGTCTTTTCAGAATGGCATTAACTACTTCATCTAGGTCAGGTGATTCCAAAATGTGTGACCTTGCTGAACTAGATGATTAGTAAATTCATTACTTACTCTTCTCCATCTCTTTCTTTTACAGCAAGAACATGATAGTATAAAAATAACTTTTATCAGATTATTTTTCTTTACCAGTGTCAAATTTATCTTGTGCCAAGTTGGAAATACCTACTATAATATGGTGCATTCAGTTTACCACATAAGTGGGAACATTTTATTTGAGGGCCTTGATTTTCTGAGTTTTGCCTTTGTCTAAAAATCACCTAAGGAAATACCAAGAAGATAAATATAGCGATGGGCTAAGTCTTCAGGCTAACAAAGGTGTAAGAGCAGTGTGTAGACAACTAGAAGGACTGAGAGAACAGAAGAGGGTTTGTAGTCAAAGACTATTTCCCATTTTGGAAAATAGCATTAACACTGAAAGGGAACACAGTTCATGTGGATTACGGCATGGGTCATGTACCATATTCTGATGACATAGGCTTTTTAGAAACAGTTATAAAATATCAGAAGCTGGATTTTTTAGTAACAATGTAAAGACTTTTTAGGATCCATTCTGTCTATTTCTTACTGCTCATAGAGAAGTGACTCTAAAATGGTCCCATTTGCTCCTCATATCTGTTGGTGCCTATGAGTCTTAAAAGCCATATCTGCTTATCCTACTGTTGACAGAAAACATTTTTCTTCTTAGCATATCAAAAGTAATATGGGCAGAGAGAAGCAAAATACAGAGTCCTGTTAGCACTGCATGGGCCATATGAGCCAAATTCTTTATTGAAGAATCCTTTTTATTCATGGTGATATGTGAGACTACTAACAGGAAGAAGCAGGGGCTGTTGTTGCTTCTAGAACTTACCGGCTGCTAGCAGAAGTGCTAAAATTTAATTCTAGAGAAGTCAAGAAGTTAGGATGAATTGAGGAAGTCAGTAGTACAGAGTCACTTTTCTGATGAGTCCTGCACTTTACACCAACAGTGTCTGTGAGGAACAGTGTTGCCTTAAATTAGCTGGACTCCGACTGAGGTCATTGTACTGCTGCTGGGGGAGCAACAGTCAAGTCTCTGTTGGCGTATAAAATGCAGCGAAAGTCCCCAAGCACCATTGTTATCTGGGGCTTTGGGCCTGTTCTCCCACTGGCTGTTGCTGCGCTGTGACACTAATGGACATGTCATGTCTGTTTCCTGAATAAGCAGAAGCAAAGCAAGAAGCAAAGACTGGTAGAGGGAAAGAGAATTTTCTAGCCAGGTCCTTCATGCTAGGTGATCACTTTCTGAACAATTGAAAGTTTACTGTCCTCCTTTTTGATGGCAACTATGTGGGAGATATTTCCAAAGGTTCTATTGTACAGTGAAGACATTCAGACTATTTAAAAGAAATTTCATCAGTACTTTTGTGTACCAAATTGCTCATCATTAGCAGAAACAAACCTGAGAAAACCAAACAAAATACATATTTTTACTTGAAATGGGAGATTTGCTCATGTGAACTGTTCTATTCTTTTTTAAAAGAGAAAATTAGTAAAACTTACTTTGGTAGGGATGACACCAGAGTGGTTTTAATAGGTTCTGTTTAATGCCACAAAGTGACACAGTCATGTAAGCATGTTGATTGTGTAAATAACTGGCCTTAAAAACCATTCTCTTCCGTTCATTCATACAAAGATGAGAACATACGATGTTCTCACTAGACAATATAGTTTACAATAGAGTTTTCAGTAGCAGTTCTCAGATTTAATATAATACAATTTTATGTATTGTGTTCATTGTAAACTAGAATATAATTTTCTCTTTTTAAGTAACTTCCCCTAACATTGGGAACCAGCACTGTGCTGATTTCAGCATTTCTAATCAGGGAAGAATTAACTGTGCAATTTACAGCCTATTGTTCATTGTTGAGGTTAAAATGTAAAGAATAGAACGGTTGTTATGTGAATTTTGAATAACATTTCCTTCACAAAAGAGCAAGAATTGAGAATAGTGAAGAGAGCAGTTGTGAGAATATACTAAAATATATACTTGGGACATTTTTGTTGCTCTGAATTTAAGATCATGCTAAAATAGTTTCTAGCTATTAAATTTGGTGATAAGATTTTTGCTGTTAGAATTTTGATATTTCTGATTTAATTAGTCTCTACAGTAACTATAACCCTTATTATAAATTGAAAGCCAAATGTTCTTTCTCAGAAACAGCTGGGGTTATTTTGTTTCGTTATGAGTTACTGGGGATTGAACTCGGGGCCTTGCGCTTACCTGGCAGGTGCTTATGGTGCTGAGCTGTATCCCTAGCCTGAAATAGCTGTTTTTATCTGCTTCTTACAGGTAACTAAATATTCATTTCATGAAACACTGTAAATTAGATGAGTTAATGTGAGAGTAACGTATAAAAAACATCTTCCAAAATTATAATTGTCCATCATATGGGTTTTTGAATAAAAAAATCCATCCGAGCACAATACATACTTTGAAAAGGTGCCAAATTTTAAAATTTGAATTTACTGTCAATATAAATCATATTCCTCACGTAATAAAGTAATTTGTCTTATAATTTGGAAAAGTAAGCTCTTAAGAGAAATTACAGTGTGCTCAAAAACTTGCCAATTTTGGTTGTTTCCTTTCAATATTGGGAATATGGGTATGTTTATCAAGCAAATGAGATGTTATCCCACCTGCTCACTGATTTACAGCCAAGCCCCAGAGGCAGATGCATCTTTACAATCACTTAACAGAACCTTGATGGAATATAGCTGCCTTTCAGAGGACAGAAAACAAAGAGGCCCCTTCACAGCATATGCCTATTCAGAGATTAAGTGAAACTGAGGGACACTGCAAGCCTGAAAGGTGACCGATGGTGGGTGCTGGTGAGTTGTGCACACCCATCTGAACTACGCTGATGGCGCCAGTTTCAGTTCACCTTCGGGCAACACAAGTTGTTCCTGCTCATAACCTCCTTGAGGAGGATGAGAAACGTGGTGCTGGTAACTATCTTGTGTTTTGGGAGGCAACATGTCAGCATCACTGAGACACACTGCAGTGTCCAAGCCTTCCTTAAATACCACTTGAAGATCTGTGTTCCTCTACGCAAGCTTGTTTTCATGGCTTCCATTTCACACTTATGTCTCATTTGTTTCTTCAAATACCAGGTTTGAAGTTGATGTCATGAATAATTTTTAAACCAAAGTATTGTATGAGTCTCTGTGCTTTGTTTTCCTAGATGGTTGGCGGTAAACACCAATCTTGTCCTCTCAATAAAATGATCCATTTGTTAAGCCAGAGAACTCTCTCTTGGTTTCTTTTATTACATTTAAATACTTAGGAACTTAAGGAACTGTTTGGTGGTTTTCTTTACAAAATAGCATTAATACATCTTCAGTGCTAGTGCAGTATTCTCTTCCTCCACTTCCATCTACTTCCAGTAATCATGTGTAACACATCCCAATGCACAGAGCATTGGAAACCTCAGAAAGTACTCCCAAGTATAGACTAGGCAAGCATTTTGTGTGGTGTTTGGTGGTGTGACTGATGCATTTGGGAAAAGAGAATGTTTAAGTAGATCTTCACACAGTAATCCTAAATAAGGCTTCTTCCACAAGTTCAGCCCACTTTTCACCTTTGCCTTGTAGAATTTCAAGTGGGAATTGAGAAAACAGGCATGACTGTCGTGTAATACGTGACTTCGATAAGGATTTTTTCATTTTACTTGTTTGGTGGAATAGCCATAATGTAGAAACTTAATTCTGCAGAAATTTAGCAAGTCTCCTTAAAATCAGATAATATTTTTAATTATTACAGAATTGAAGTTTTCTCTGGAGCAGATCATATGGGCTTCATTTTCTTTGGCAAATATGAATGTAATTTTACATGGCTACAAGCTTCTAAAAGACACTAGTGAAATATGTGTTACATAGTTGAAGAAAGTTGACAGGTTGATTGCTCCCTTTAGTTGTGAAAAAAGTTCCTAGAGGAAGCTTCCAGCAGTGGGAAAAGTATGTAGAAGCTGATTTAATAAAACTATTAAGGTGCTTCCTGCAGTATGCAGTAGGAAATGCTCCCTATGAGCTGCTTCTGCAGAATGACTGTGGGGCCAAGGCCCTGCGGTGTGAAGAGGTAGCAAACCAGAAAGTCCTTATTTTAAAAGCCAGGGCAGCGAACATCTCACATACCTCAGAGATGTGCAGTAGTAGTTAAGATGCTCCTGGAATATGAGAACCCTAAGGTTGGAACTTCTATTTTAATTAAATTTTTTTTTTTGCAATTTCAGGGCTTAAATCCATGGTCTCTCTTTTGCTTGGCAGATACTTACTACTTACCTACACGCATAGCCTTTTTGAATTTTTATTTAGTGATAGGATCTCACCAAATTGTAATCTTCCAGACTCAGCCCCCTAGTAATGGGTTATAGGCATATGCCAACCATGCCTAACTAGTAATGGG